GTTGCACGTATGTTTCATTGGAGCAGCTGACATGTACTACACCAGAAGAACTGGTGGAGGAACTCGCTTTCTTAGTCGGCGTAGAGCGCGTGTGCGGTTGCACGTATGTTTCATTGGAGCCGCTGACATGTACGACACCAGAAGAACTGGTGGAGGAACTCGCACCGTCTGATTTCCTAGTCGGCGTAGAGCGCGTGTGCGGCTGCACGTATGTTCCATTGGAGCGGGTATAGCCCCTGACATGTACGACACCAGAAGAACTGGTGGAGGAACTCGCACCGTCTGATATCATAGTCGGCGTAGAGCGCGTGTGCGGCTGCACGTATGTTTCATTGGAGCCGCTGACATGTACGACACCAAAAGAACTGGTGGAGGAACTCGCACCGTCTGATTTCCTAGTCGGCGTAGAGCGCGTGTGCGGCTGCACGTATGTTCCATTGGAGCGGGTATAGCCCCTGACATGTACGACACCAGAAGAACTGGTGGAGGAACTCGCACCGTCTGATATCATAGTCGGCGTAGAGCGCGTGTGCGGCTGCACGTACGTTCCATTGGAGCGAGTATAGCCCTTGACATGTACGACACTAGAAGAACTGGTGGAGGAGCCTACGGCGCCACCAGTGGATCTGCTAGAAGAACTTGCCCCGCTTGATCGCCCTGTTGGTGCACTTCTTGTATACCCGGCCACGTAGGTTCCGTTAGATCTGGTGTAACCACTAACCTTCACGCTTTTACTCATGACGATTTTCACGCCCTTTTTCGTCAGTAGAACTAGCCTTCTTTTATCGCAGAACGGAAATCTTTCCTCGGAACCCAGCTGGCCGGCCTTTGATCCCCTCCGGCCCTCCACGTGCGCAAAAGGCGGGGCCACGTAACTTTGGCTAAAAGTTTCTCGCTTACCAACCAGAATTGAACCACAACGCGGCGTATAATTATATAGCCAACGGTTTTTCATGCGAGGACGTCCGCGTATCTGATATGCGCATGCGCATCCAGGGCGACTGACGAAAGTGGCGGGCAGGGCGCGGCCTAGGGACGGACGACCGGTTGTGATCGCCCGTTGAGAAGGCCTAGTAGAAATGGCTGGTCGCAGGACTCCTCAGTACCTGGCTGTGCAGGAGAATCTTGTTATGCTACAGAGAACTCTGAGGGGAACTGACGAGGCAGAAGATAGTTTGCTGGCCATTTTCAAAAGTCGTGGATGGCTTGACCAACTAGCCAAAACAAAAGCCGATGGGCTGATTAGAAAAGCCCTGAGCAAAATAGAAAACGAAGGTAGAGAATTACGAGTTGTTCATAGAGATGCTGCAGGAAGTTTCAGGTATTGATGAAGCTGTGGAAGAGATCACAAGTGAGTTGCATAATTATAACCAGTGAGCTATTGGAGCTGAAATGATCATTGTCACTCCATATTTCAGAACGGTGCCCAACAAGGCCTCAAAAAGACCTAGGTATCTACCTATCACTAACTTTATCGTGATTGTTTTACATGCCAAGACCGATACATTATACGTTGCGTCTCTAACGCAACAAAGGTGCATGCACGGCCTTTATACTGTGCAAGATTAACCGCCTGCTTCTTCCATATGGGAGATGTTCATATTATGTAATCTTGTTACACAGGAACAAAAGGCAATAGGAAACCTGAAGGTAATTTATATCTATATCTAGTTATCTGACCATTATTAATCTTTCGTTTCGACAGACTTTGCAAGTTTCCCAAGACCAAAGCTGGTTGACCTGATCAATATAGTTGGTGTTAGAGTAAAGGTGAAGTGGAAAAGCATGGGACTTGGGCTTGGTTTCAAGGGTTGGGAACTAAATGGGATTTACGCCACAAAGTGTAGAGAACTGGACCCTCCTCAAGAGTGCATGACAGAGGTTTTTAGCCAGTGGCTGTCTGGTTTGAAAAGTGAATACTCGTGGAAGAAACTGGCAGAAGTTCTTGTGTCGCCAGCAGTTAATGAAATTGAACTTCTGGGTCATATGTACAAAGAACTTACTAATAAGAAGTAGAACTCTGACAGTGGTATATATTTGTAAGTATACTTGGTTGACTAGGACATTGCATTCTCTATGAATTCTATCTACTAACACTAGTCAGAAAACTTTTTGGCCAAACGTTTCGACTGCTCTGCAGTCCTCATCAGTGGCAAAAAGTAAAAAATAGGCAATGGCTGAGTTTTTAAGGCATGAGAGACAGAGGAATGAAAATTAAATTCCAATGTAACTAAGAGAGGAAACAAGACAGTTCCGAAGGTGTGCCCTGGAGTCGTGGCACATACAGAGACATCCCAGCTTCAACAGGGAAGGGGGGACCCTTCCACCTGTATATCGCTGTTTGCACTGAAGAGTGTTTCTTTCCTTTTCTATCCTTCATCTTTCGCTCCCCCACTTTTATTTTATTATTATTTTTTTTGTGTACTTTATTTTATTTCATATACCTTTGCAAACCTAGCCATCTTGCTATTTTCATTTTCATTCTTGCCTCTTGTTTCCTCTCTTAGTTACATTGGAATTTAATTTTCATTCCTCTGTCTCTCATGCCTTAAAAACTCAGCCATTGCCTATTTTTTTTACTTTTTGCCACTGATGAGGACTGCAGAGCAGTCGAAACGTTTGGCCAAAAAAGTTTTCTGACTAGTGTTAGTAGATAGAATTCATAGAGAGTGGTATATATTGAGTTTCATTGATACTTGATGCTGTATTTTGTAATATGAGGTATCATGTAATATGGATCAAGCTTGAGTTGATAAGATGTTGGTTGTGTGTAGGAAGTATTATACTGGGAAATGAATGAATATTGTACAGCTGGGTGGAGTAGTGGAAAGAGGTCAAGGGACCTGCTTATACAGGAAGTGACATCGCAACAATAAAACTACAGCTAGGCAGGGCCAATAGTTGTCCAACAAAATGGCTGGCCGTGGCACTGAACAGTACCTGGCTGTGCAGAAGAATCAAGATATACTAGAAAGAGCTTTAATGGGAGCTGGAGCAGAAAAAAGTTTGCTGACACAATATAAAAGTCATGGATGGGTTGACCAACTTGCCAATATGAAAGCTGATGAGCTGATTACAAACGCCCTGACCAAAATTGAAATCAAAGTCGAGAATTATGAAGTGTTTATTGAAATGCTGCAGGAAGTTAAAGTCATCAAAGATGCTGTGGACATGATCATAGGTAGTAACTACTTTGTGAGCTTACAACAAATAATGATATGAGTTTCTCTCCATTACTGCAGAACAGTGCCCATTAAAGTCTGCAAAAGGTACGTAAATCTCCAACTAGTGTCCTTGGATGCTATTTTTTACCGTATGTTGTACGCGACCCTGCAGATCAAACTTTTGCTACACCCCTTTTCACCAACCAAGCTCAGCTACAAGGTACGTATGTCTGCTGCAGGCTATAAGCATGTAGCATAAAACTTTCTCTAGAGCTGAAAATGTGAACTGCTGCGTTTTGTTCTAGATAGCTGCATTTCCAGGCACAGCTCTTATGTAAGCTAAAGGCTTGGCTAAGGGAAAATTATGCATGGGGCACAAGAGAATGGAAACAGTGTGTTAAGTCCTGCCAATTGAGAACTGATGATAGCAGCAACATTGTTGAATAGCTAATAACATGGCTTTGGCCAGCTGCTGTAATGGTTCTTTCTTGTAGAATCAATGATGGAGCACTTGTATCCTTTCCCCTGTGAGTATTGTGGGCAGCGGTTTGCTGATTACTCGGATTTGCTAGGTCATCAGGAACTTCAATGTCCCTCTGCACCTCCAACCTGTGATCATGCTGGTTGTGATGTGGGTTCATGCAATCAGAAAGACACTGGTCAGAATAATATTAATCTAAAACCTAATGGGGAAACTTTTACACTCTAGAAAGATAATGCCTAAACAGCTTGCTCAAGTTCTTGTTCTATGCCAGTGCAGTATTATTGTTGATGCAGTCCACCTAGGTGTATCTAAATACTGCTTAGAGAGAGCATCTAAGAATCTAAGAGCTTTCGCTCATTCTGCAGCCTGGAAAAATGATATGTTCAACATTCTTCTAGTACGTATCTTTATGCTTGTTCGAGTTTGGTTCACCGGGGTCACCGGGGTGGCTGCAATATTGTCCATACTTAGCTCATAAACAATTGGTACTCGTTGGTCTGTGCCACAAAATTATTGTTCATTAATTTAACATGCAGGTGGGGCAGAACCATTGCAAGTGTTTGGTATGTTCTATAGTAAATCCACATCCACTGAACTGGTTCACTGTCACATCATGTGTATTATACCAACATACATTATTTTAGGCCTACTGGAAAAGTTGCGAGGAAAAAACAAGCATGAAAAATTGCTGTATAATCACTGAGCATTAAGTAATGGGAGACTTTCCAGAGGTGGGTGTGGCAAAACTTCTGACCACACCTCCTGTCAAACTTGTAGATGATGGCAGGGGTTTCAGACCTTGCAGTCTTCTATAGATCGTTGTGTTGCCCCTCAGGGGTGCAGTAGTGGCCATGCACAGTTGTTAACAAAAGAGAGTGGTTCAATAAGTTTGTCACAATTTTTTTCACGGGATGCAGCCTACAGTGAGCTTGTGAAAAAGTTGAAATGCTCCGTCGGCGGCGGCACAGTCGGTACGTAGCCAACGTCAAAACACGCCACAGACAAGTGTGTAGAACTTTAGCCTTTCTCTATTTTTATACAGTTTTGCTAGACAAGTTACCCCTTTTGTGTTGTCTAGACAAATCTAATGTGGCAAGAGGAATTCTGTTCCATGCCATCATTATCCCACCCTACTTATGCCATGTATGGATATTGTTAGAATAGATAAGTATGGGCCCCAAGGCTCTTGATTAAGGATACACTGTGCTTACTTGTCTACAGGTGGAGGCTCTACTGGAATAATTGGGTCCGATAGTCCAGGTCAGTCTACTAGAGTGTTGCACAACACTTCATAATACAATGTGCAACATGGTGTTTGTACTGCGGTGCATAGAGCATTAGCTGATGCATAGATTTGGTGATGAACCCCTGGACTGAGACTAACTGAAGAGTTTGTTATTCTCTGTCGCAAGTCCTGCAGAGGCACCAGAAAAGGAAGAAGTTGGTATGGCCCAGGATCGACTATAGCTAATGCTCATCAGGCTGAGCCCTGGGGCTCTGAACCAAATTGAGACTGATTACAGAAAGTTTGAAGACTGCCTTTTTAAAAGCCATTTCCTTGTGGTTAATAACAAAAACTAGGAATACAGTTTGCGAGTGAGTAGTGGGGGGTGTTCCGTGGCTAGCCATAACCCACCACCCCAGGAAAGATCATCTGAAACACATGTACTCTCAAAAAATATGGCCTAGCTAATTAGCTTTTGTCCGAGATGAACATATAATTTCCACAAAGAAGATGGTCCATTATTTTTGCATTGCTATGAGATGGTGCTATGACACGCTATGTGTAGTAACTCTGGCTCTATGACGTGTATTCAACACCCATCACCACACAGATCAAGCTGTTGCTGCTCAAGCTACTCCTCCTCCACAAACATCTCTGCCTTTCTCGCCCACCTCTCCAAGGACTGGGAAACTAAGTATGTTAGTATGGAAGAATAATAACTGGGAAGATCCACTAGAGCATTCTGGACCACACACAAAGAATCTAGGACACTTCGAACAAGTTGTAGTAAATACTACAATCCCTCTGTAGAAAGGGAGGTTAGCCTGGTTCCAGTCTTACCTTTATTTGGAAGCTCTACTATCAAGGCAGAGTAAAAGATTGTCCCACACTGTCCTTCATGCAATCTTTCTCAACGTCGAAGGTATTGATAGAGATGTCTTCCAAGCTAAAGGCTGTCTGAAGCATCTGGAAAAACATGAACTGAAGGACTTGTTCCAGGAGCTGGGACTCTCTCACTCAACTGTACAGAATAACTACTCTGGTAGCACGAGAGCTGAATACTCTGAAGGGTTGATCCGGGACTGGATTCGGGGGGAAGATGGTGTGCTGACATCAGAGGACTACAGTGGAGGAGCAACGTGGGAGAACCTGAGGAAAGCTCTCAATGAATTGAACCACCATGGCGTAGCTAACGATATATGACATATATATTTTTTACATTGTCCTTGAATGTTTTCTTTTTTTTTCTCAATGAGATATATATATAGAGTATAAATAAAGAGAGCGACATACAGAATAAAAAAACACAAAGGCAAATAAGGAGCAGTAACCGAAACAAACAACAAGGAAGCCAAAAAGCAACAGCAAACAAACAAAACACAAAAAACCAGAAAATGATACTGTCAAACTGCGGGGGAGGCGTTGGGCAACGCCTCAATACAACCGTGAACTTCTACGATCTACTGCCGTCCGACCGATCGTACTATTACTACGAAGGCTCGCTGACGACGCCAAACTGCAGCGAGGTGGTACAGTGGTTCCTATTGAAGGAGACCATCTCTATCCCGAGCGCGTACCTCGCGCAGCTGCGGGAGGTGGAGGAGAACGAGGAAGGGGATCGCCTGACGTTCAACTACCGCAACACGCAGGATCTGGCTGGCCGACAAGTCTCGCGGTACCCCGCCAGCGGCGGTGTGCGACTCCTGCCAACAATTTCCCTGCTGTCTATGCTACTGCTTGCATTTCATGCGTTGCTATAAAGAGGACACTTTGTGTGTATTTTATCACTAGAATCGATTCATTTCTGTTCTGTTGGCAAGCTAGCTAGCTAAAACCTAAGACCAGATTGACGCGCATGCGCAGTTATTTTTTGAAGTCGCACTGCGCATGAGCAGCTCGAAAATTTTTATGGGGCAGGGCTTGTTGTTCTGCTGGATATTGGGCCGTCAGCAGTGAAGTGATGAACCACGGAGAGACTCCAGCTCGACGCGCCTTGCGAGAAAACTCTGTCGCGGCGTCTGAAGCGGTTCAAAGAAGCTTAGACAAAATCCTGCAGTACCTAAAGCAGGAGAAATTCAAATCACCACCGGTGGAGTTAGCGCCGCGTGCAAGGCCGGGCAAGCTCTCAGCGCTGTGAAGGTGAAGGTGGACAGCGGTAACGACCCGGTGAAGGGGCGGGAGTGGTTGGAAACGTTCCTGAAGATTCTCCGTAGAGAGGACATCGGCGAGGAGGCGGTAGCTGGAGAAATAGCAAAGTTCTACGGTGAGAGAAGACACGGCATGGCAGCAGACTTGTGATTCTTGAAGATGCTCTTCGTTTTTTCCCCCAGTGAGATATGCTGGTAGAGGAAGCGAGGGTTGTGCCTTTTTCAATTCCATAGCCTCTGGAGAAGGTAAGGTAAGAAAGGGTAATTCGGAATGAACTTCAGAAAAAACGTTTTTCTTTGATTGCAGATCAACACCAGGGAATACTATAACCAACGCAGAGATACACTAACCTTTACTCTCTGTCATGCCGAAAACAGAACAATTTTACATGGTTTCGTTTGTCCGCGCGGGACCGATTTCTCGGTCCCGTCCGTTATGCGCATGCGCCGGTAATTGGGAATAGTAGAGCTACAGCAGCGATACGTCTAACCTGTATGGCTTGCAGCGTACATATCCAGGTAAATACACTATTTTCCCCATAAACAAAGGATTATAGCCGTCGTGATTACTGTTTTCTATACCGCTACTCGACTCGCATAGGTGTGCGCGCGCCAGAGCTGCGCGCGTCGCAAAACTTTGACCTCTTGGTATGCTACACTGAAACTGGCTGTGGGGCAGCTTGCATGTTCGATGTCTTTAGCCTTCATTGTAGTCTGCTTTAGCTGTTTTAGATCGCAGTAGTCTGCTCTACTTCTAGCAGCCTATCGAAGTTTCCGATCGCCTTTCACCTTTGAAGTCACAAGTAAACTGAAAGTTTGAGCTCTCTTCACACAAGAGACACGACGGACATAGAGCGCAACACAGGTATGTATAAGCTAACATCCAACTCCACCTGTAATAACAGTGACAGCCTGCCCTGACCAAAATATTGTATAAAATAGCCGTCGCAACGTGAGTTATTCCGAATTACCCGCTATTCCGAATTACCCGCCCTTACCTATGCTGCGTGTTTATGAAACTGAAAGTTATACTCTATTGTAATAACTCTGGCTCTGTGCATAGTCCCACTATCTGTATATACCATAATATTATAGATCAAGCTGTTCCTGCAGCACAAGTTACTGCTCAAGCTACTCCTCCTCCACAGACCTCTCCACCTTTCTCCTCCACCACTCCCACCACTCCAAGGAGTGGGAAACTAAGTATGTGAGTATACTATATGGAGGAATGCATACTGAGAAATTGTACTAGAAATAATGCTGCATTCTAGACCACACACAAAGAATCTAGGACACTTTTCGAACAAGTTGTAGTAAATACTACAATCCCTCTGTAGAAAGGGAAGTTTGCCTAGTTCCAGTCTGACCTTTATTTGGAAGCTCTACTGTCAAGGCAGAGCAAAAGAATTGCCGTCTTTCATGTTGTGTATTATCTTTCCCAAAAGATATTGATAGAGATGTGCGCAGAGCTAAAGGCTGTCTGAAGCATCTGGACAAAGATGAACTGAAGGACTTGTTCCAGGAGCTGGGACTCTATCACTCAACTGTACAGAATAGCTACTCCGGCAGCACGAGAGCTGAATACTCTGAAAGGTTGATCCGGGACTGGATTCGGGGGGAAGATGGTGTGCTGACATCAGAGGACTACAGTGGAGGAGCAACGTGGGAGAACCTGAGGAAAGCTCTCAAGGAATTGAACCACCATGGCGTAGCTAACGACAGTTATAAAAAATACTGCGCATGCGTAAAAGATCTTCGACGCGCCCCTAGTTTGTTGCACAGGCGTTGTTCGTTCGCGATGGCAGACGACGGGCAGCCAATCGAGATCACATCGCTGAATGATAACATCGATTTCATAACCAGTTCTGTTAAAAACAGTTTGCAATCGTTCGCGAACGACCTCGTCCAGAAAAAGTTCATCGCCTACGAGGCTTCCCGAGAGATACTTGGAATGACAGGAGTTGTTCCATCAAAACAAGTCGGCTTGTTGATGGAGGAAGTGCATAAAATTATAAAATATGGAGACAACAAGAGAGAGTGGTTCGATAAGTTCGTCGCTATTTTTTCCCGGGATGCAGCCAACAGTGAGCTTGTGAAAAAGTTGAAACGCTCCGTCGGCGGCGGCACAGACAGTACGTAGCCAACGTCAAAACACGCCACAGACAAGTGTGTAGAACTTTAGCCTTTCTCTATTTTTATACAGTTTTTCTTGACAGCAACTGTCCCACAAGACAAGTGTGTAGAACTTTTTAGCCCGTCTCTGTTCTTTATACTGCCCTGTTGTATCAAATTTGATTATGTATAAAATGTTTATGTGGGGGCAAGAGGAATTCTGTTCCTATCCCACCCTACTTATGCCATATATGCGTATGGAGACTGGCCCAGAGTGTGTCAGTACATAGGGGATAAATGTTACTAAAAAATATAATTAAACAATGGGGCCCAGTGCTAGAACGCAATTAGGTTACCGTTTTAGTAAATTTAGCCCATACTGCCACATTCCCGTTAGAATAAGCTGTGCTTTTCTGTCTACAGCACCTACAGTTGCTACAGGAGTAATAGGAAGCGATAGTCCAGGTCAGTCTTGCACAACGCAATGTGCAACATGGTTTTATACTGTGGTGCATAGAGCATTAGCTGATGCATAGATTGGTGATGAACTCCGCTGCCGAGTCTTACTGAAGTGTTTATTATTCTCTGTCGCAGGTTCTGCAGAGGCATCAGAAAATGAAGCAGTTGGTATGGTCCAGGCACAGATCTCTAGACTATAGCCAATGCTTATGCAGGAGAGCCTCTAGTTACTGAGAATTCGTTAAACATGCAGACTGCACTGATACTGTGTACCCTACCCTCCAATTGAGCCCACACACATAACTGATGAGGTAGTCATAGAAGCAGTCAAAACAACCTATTAGTCATGTGGGAGTAAGGGTATTGTCAGCACTGCAACATTCCCTTACAAAAACAGACATGATGTGCTACACTGACTGGATGACTCTGGTTGAGAAAGATGACGGCAGAGCAGATGAATTATGGGTTCTAACAGATGAAGACCTCTGGCTGGTAGGGAAGACGCTAAAAGTGCGTTTCTTAGACGACAGGATTCCGGCGTGGCCTAATGATGGACGTGGTCATATCACTGAAGAAGAGATCCTCAAGATAGCCAATGAGTGGCATCAATGTGGGGTTGAGCAAGGCAAAGATGTTGTGCCAGAGTTTGTGCCATGTGGTGCAGATGACACCGCTGACATCAGAGTGAAGTTTATTGGTAATTACACAATACTAATCTATGCATACCTAGATCTGTTTTTTTTCAAGCCCATACAGCAATTTTTACAACAAACAAAGATACTCAGTTTTCACACGTGGGTATACAAGTGGAAAAATCATTTCTTCAAAATGAAAGGGGGATATAGGGATGGCTTGAAGCACCAAAAAGGAAGAAACAAGGGGTCATTACACAGCAAAGTTGCACAAAGCTACATGACACCATCCCTATATCTTTGTTTGGTATTGTTTGATATTAAACTTTGCTTATAAACAATAAAACAAAGATATAGGGATGGTGTCATGTAGCTTTGTGCAACTTTGCTGTGTAATGACCCCTTGTTTCTTCCTTTTTGGTGCTTCAAGCCATCCCTATATCCCCCTTTCATTTTGAAGAAATGATTTTTCCACTTGTTTCCACTATTTTTAACAGCTTCTGGCAACACTGCATTTATTGTTACAGTCACTCTGATGTTCATGGCTATGTTGTAGATAGGCTACCATAGACAAATTGAAAGTAGTAGCTAATGGACTGCTAGATACCATGTATTGTCTTCAACAAGGATGTAATTAGATTATTGCACATGGTTGTGGTTTCATTGGCAGGCTTTGGTAATCAGGCTACAACCTGGGGGGGACAAACAATGAAGGCCCATTTGACTGAGTGCCCCGCAAGGCTCGCGTAACACCGCGCAGACTCTGGCAAGTTGCTCTTCGTGCATATCAACAGCAAGATAGCCAGTTGGAAATGTGCACACTTACTTACAGAAGGTACTGGAGGCTGACAGTTCCTCTGCAGGTCTGCCAACTCGCCCGGTAGAATACGTTCGCAAGCACATTGGACAACGCCCCTGCCTGGCGCATGCGCGCGGATCACTGATGCTGAGTAAGCAGCAAATGGCGTTGTTCAGGTCGACCAGGGAAGAGCTCCATGATCTACCGTAGTGACTAGCGGCAAGAAAGAAACGATCGCTTGATGTCCGTGCACACCTCCGGCGAAATTGGAGACCTTCAGTGAAAAAATCAGTGCTTGAACTGGTACTGGTAAGGAGATAGCGGGTTTAAAGAAGAAGAAGAAGAAGAAGATGAAGAATATGATGACACGAAAATCGTGAAATCGCGTATGAGCGAATTCTCGCGTGGACGACTGAAGGTGCGTATGAGCTCTTGGGGGACATGTATAGGTAGATATGGGCCCGTAGACTATTGCTAGTATGTTTTGAAGGCCTAGCAAGTGATTCTCACCGAGTTTTTAGTCGTTTTGTACGCGGATCACGTGAGATTTCACCCGCGTCATCCCTATATAGCTAGAGTCTACCGACTCTCTAATACACATGCTCACATAAGTGTCATCATTACGGGAGAGTCTGAGTACCAAGACTGAGGCTTCTTGTGTGCATGGTAGATTGATTCACATGTCCATGAGAACAGTGCATGTCAACTGCCCTTTAGCACTTGTTCACAAAAATGTGTGGTGATGCTGTGATACACACACAACACAAACGACATACGGACCCATTATGAACGCTGATCTAATGTATATTCAAAACTGCATTCTTCCTGCCAGTAGATTCTGGATGCCCACGCTCTAAAGTTGGTACTGCTGCAACTCGGGTCAAAGCAGGAGATCCCACAATGTGGCTGGATCTCAAATCACCAGATAATTGCCCTTCCCTCTACAAGCGCACCATTCGACATGAGTTTGGGCATGCTCTCGATCTGAAACATGAGCATCAGCACCCCGATGCCCCGCCGCTGACCGACCCTAGAAAGCTCAAAGAGTATTTAACGCAGCGTTTGCCTCCTGCGGAAATTGATGAGAAAATTCGTGTGCAGTGGGCAGCACTTGCCAGGGGAGCCTCTCAGAAGAGCAAATACGACAAGGAGAGCGTTATGCACTATCTGTAAGTATCACATTTCATGCTTGGTTTTATTGTTTTATGCAATATTCAACAGTATACCGGAAGTAGTAAGAGCCAATAAATATGTAGGACCAACAGAGCTTCCGATTGAGCTGTCTGATTGTGACAAAACCAACATTGTCTTGTTTTACTCAAAAGGTATGGATACCAATTGAGAATTTGGACTTATGGCCACTGATGTATGGCACACATACACACAGGTGCTGCAGATGAAGAGCAGACTCCCATGGGTACGATGTTAGCCTTATTTCTCATGAACTACAGTGAAACCTCGTAATAAGGGACACAGGGGACATCAAAAGTGTCCTTTATTCAGAGGCGTTTAATGTACATATTATTATATTACATTACGGGGGTTCTTCATAGAGTAGGTGTCCTTTATCCAGAGGGTTCTTTTCAGAGGTTTATTATATCATCTGCAGACACGGGTAGTGGCACTGACAGAGATGATGGTGAGGAGATCTGAATTATTTCTTATGGATATGACCATAATATGTGTCAAACCATAGGGCCAGGGGGTTCTATTGTTGACGATAGTGGAGAAAATGGTAAGCATGCCAGCATCTGTAGTGATCAATTCAATTCCCCCCTCATTTCAAGGATACTTAAACTTTATGCAATCGTATTTTCATGCCAAGACCGATATTTTATACGTTGCGTCTCGAAAGCAACAAAGGTGCATGCATTGTGCATATTGCGACCTTTATACTGTACATGCAAGATTAACAGCATGCTTCTTCCATGTGGGAGATGTTCATATTATGTAATCTTGTTACACAGGATCAAAAGGAAATATCAAACCTGAAGGTAATTTTGTATCTATAATATCTATTTATCTGATCACCGAGGTTTATTACATATAGTTTCTTTTGTTTCAACAGACTTTGCAAGTTTCCCAAGACCAAAGCTGGTTGACCTGATCAATATAGTTGGTGTTAGAGTAAAGGTGAAGTGGAGAAGCATAGGACTTGGGCTTGGTTTCAAGGATTGGGAACTAAATGGGATTTATGCCACAAAGTGTAGAGAACTGGACCCTCCTCAAGAGTGTATGACAGAGGGTTTTAGCCAGTGGAAGTCTGGTTTGAAAAGTGAATACTCGTGGAAGAAACTGGCAGAAGTTCTTGTGCTGCCAGCAGTTAATGAAATTGAACTTTCTGGGTCATATGTACCAAAACTTACTAATAAAAAGTAGAACTCTTATATGTATTATACTTGGGACATAATGCAGAGACGGTTGTATTTGAGTGAGCTATCATGTCCAAAATTGTTATTGTAGCCAGACCCTTCATAATAATACAAGCACATGCATAGCACATGCGCACTATGTGAACTAGATCACACATGCCACGTCTAGAATTGTGCAAATGACATTAACCAGATATGAAGGAAAATCAACTGTGGTATGAGAAAGTTAAATCATACTTAACTACTTCATTAGCTATGCAAGAGTTGCAGCGCTAAGTAAACTAAGCTGACATTGTTCAAGTTCTTTTGTTCATGCAAGCAAATCAGTTATTTTGCTCCACTGATCAACAATTTGAGTGGAAGTGGGACGATTATCGGCAGTTGAATCCCAACACGATTCAAGGAAGGCAGAGAGTTCTGCTGAGAAAGCAATTTCTGATTCAGCTTTAGGACGCAAGTTCCCCTTACCCACTTGAGCTTCCAGTTGTTTTTCACCGAGCCCATAGTATGCTTCTTCCTCAGTGACTATTTCAAAAACACAAACGGCTAAGGAGTATATGTCGGCTTTTGAAAATTGCTGTTGAGTTAGAAGTTCTCCACGCAGGACCTCCGGTGCAGAGTATCGCGGAGTACCTCGGGCAGGAATTGGTGCAGCTGAAGATCGAGATGCTTCTGAATTTTTCTTTATCAAACTAAGCCCAAAATCAGACAGCTTGGCATTGTCATCCATATCTAGCAGCACATTTTGACTCTTAATATCGCAATGGGAAATTTCTGTCGGGGGTGTGTGAAGGTATTGCAGGGCGCTGGCAAGCTGAGATACAATCTTTTTCTTCTTTTCGTCCTCAAATTCTGATTCGTCATTGAACAGAGCGTGATAAAGCGTGCGTGACAAGTACTCCATCACTATCCCAAGACACCGCTCCTCAAGAACGGCACCAAACAACCTCACTATGCATGGGTGATCGAGGCTGACTAGGATCTTCATCTCTTTTGCAAAATCTCGCTTTGCCCTCCTTGACATTAATTGCTGCTGTATAAACTTTTTATAGGCAACTGGTTTTTCATTCCACAAGCATGCAAACACGGTGCCAAATCCACCATTCCCAATCTCCTTCTCTATTTTTAGGTCTTGGTATGGAATCTCTTGTATGGCTAGAGCTGGTGGTTCGAAACTGATGTTTTTCTTTCTCCATTCTTCTTCTACCTGTTGCTGAGCCAACCTCCTAGCGGCTGAGTGGTAAATATCGTACTCAATGCCAGCCATGTCTTCCATGAACCTGATTATATCCTGTACCGTGTTTCCCTCCATGATTTCTTGCTGCTGAACCTTTTTGGGCGGAATGAGTTT